AAAATCCACAAAGTTATGTTCAACGCTATGGTGCTTCATTACAAGATGCTGCATCCTTGTTACAAGCTGCACGTCAAGCCGGTGTTGTTGAAGATATCTCAGTACCAGGTGGAGCTGCCATTGGATTCGGAGCTCAATCATATGGTCAAGATGTTGAAGCTGGAGCTGGATTCATAGGACACAGCGGAGGAGCACAGTTTGCACAGTCAGCCCTCAGCGGAGGAGCACAAGTTGCACAGTCAGCCTACAGCTCTCAACAGGGTTACGATACAGGATTTGAAGGTGAGATTTTATTGAATAAATTATAAGGCTAGAAAATTGTTAATAACCTTATCCAAATTGATAACTTTCACTAGTACATGAGAGTAAACGATTCAGCTAATAACTTATTTTCTTTTTTCAGGTGGATTCGGTGGCGCTTCATTCGGCGGATCTTCGTTCGGCGGTTCGCCATCAGGATTTGAAAGCGCAGGTGGATATGAAAGTCAAGGAGGATATGGAATTCAAGGTGGACTCTCCAGCTCCGGCTACGAATCATCCCAGAGCTTCGGCGGTGCTGCCGTAGGAGCTGATCAATTTGAGAGTCAAGGGGCTTCCTTTCAAGGAGGTTATGATTCTGGATTAGGAGGTCACCAAGTCAGTGCATCATCATTTGAATCATCATCTTTTGGAGGTGGATTTGATGCTGGTTCAGCTGGATTTGGAGGAAGTAGTGGATCAGGAGCCGCTGGATCATCAAGCGGTTACGGTGTTGGATATGATCGGAATTGTTTCAGAATGATGTCATCAGCTAAAACTGGGTAGGACAGAAAATAAATAATTTTAATTAACGATTGACAGTTATTTTTTGTGAGTTTATGATATAGATGCTTTATTAGTATCAACACAATTGATACTACACATGCTTCCTTCAATCATATTTCATTAGTAGAATTTAGTAAATAAGGGAAGTTTTTATTCCAACAATGAAACCAAAATTGGTTGTGAGAGGTAAGCGAGAGTCATACCTAGTGACTGTAGTATACAGAGCACACAAGAAAAATCTGATGAGAGAACCTTTTCAGATGTTAAACTCCGATTTAAATGAAATTTTGTCTATATATGCTACATAGTGTGATAGTGAAAACCCTAAAAGGATTTGGACTGTTATAGCTTTCCCCAAAAGTTATCGACATTTTTCTAGTAATCCCACAACGAAAACAACGAAAAATTAAAAAATTGATAACTCAGCCAAAACTAGGTACGAAAAGCTGAAAACTTGTCCACTGTTAAACTTTTAAGGTCTATTATAACCATAGAACGTTTCAGGCTTCTAACTCTATTACTTGCTCAATTATTGAATTTTCCTCTATTTAGGAAAACACATGTGTTTTCTATAACTTCTGGGAAAAGCTATAACAGCCCAAATCTTTTTAGGGTTTTAACTACGACACTATATAGTATATGCAGATATTTAAATCGGAGTTTGACGTCTGAAAAGGTTCCCTCATGAGCCCATCAAAAAAGCAAGAAGCGTAACGTTAGTAAGGGAAGAAAATGCTTATTTTTTTCTTCATCTAATAAATGAACAGGCTTATGTTGCATTAGGTGGTGTTAACGGAAGTGCTGGTTTCGGAGGACAACTTTCATCATCGTCATATGGAGGATCAGCCGGAGGTCAAGGAGGTTACGGCGGTGTAGGCGGTGAAGCTAGTTATGCTGGTATCTCCGGTGGTTTTGATCCCGTAGCAGCCGCGTTCAGAATTGCTGACGTTAATAGAGATGGTCATATAGATCAAAATGAATTTCGTCAATTCTTTCGAGGTGGTCTTTAAAAAAATAACTTTACTAAAGCTGATGGATAATAATGTTTAGTTTTTTTACGATTTAGTCAAATGAAATATTTGCGTTTTATCTATATACTGCAATTTTTGTTTATACGTAGTTGTTGCTCATATTGTTTTAAGTATTGTTTCAAAGTATATTTCTCGTAACATGCAGATTTTATTCAAATAAAATTTGATTCTCTAATACACATTTTAACATATTATGCTCAGACAAATTCCATATGTGAATGGGAACAGAGATAACGTAGACTTGTAAAAAATCTGATGACATCTTTCTCTCATCAACATTGTGGCAAGAAAATCAAAATCATTAACTATTAAGAGTGTGATTATAACAAGTGTGAACTATAAACAAAACTTATCAATCATATTGAGATTTAAACTTCTGATCATAATAAAATTTCAGAAAGCAACAATAGCTCAAATGATCAAACCAGAGAGCTTGTAAAATGCAACAAAAAGACTATTTGTATTACTCTAGCAAGTAACAACAAAAAAAGATTAAATTTTCTCACTTATAAATAAATAATCCAATTACACGTGATTACGATGCGTTGTCAACTGATTTTCTCCTCCATCGTTCTTATAAGGCAAAGCCTGATAGTTTGAATAAAAAAATTTGATTAACGACTCAGACAAACGTAACGCTATTTTTCGTTTTTCTCAAGAAACACAATGGCCAAAAAGTTGATTATTGAGCCATTTTGTATCTATATATCGGGTCTCTGACAAAAAAGGCTTCAAAAGCAAATGTTTCATGTAATATTTCGAAACTAACATTTTGATACACTTGTTGCCTCTCTCAATAAAAGTGTCAAAAAAAGTATAATTTAAACTTATTTGCATTCTATCATATAGTAACATTTCTTTATAATAGAAAATGAAATTTTCAAAAGTTTTAATGTCTCAAGAAATCTCTAAGTTCGAGAAAAACGTCATTCCTTAACCAAAACGGCTTAAAAATGATTTATGAAGCTTTATTAATTAAATTATTTTCAAGTAGAAAAATTTGAATTTTTTCACCTACAATTCTAATTTTATTTTTCAAGTGAAAATTCATACGTAAAAAACTGCATTTAGACAAATATGTCAAAGATCAGGTTGAGAAAAAAAGTATCTAAAAATACTTCTTCGACAAAGGAGACTGTTACTTGTAAGCTATTTAAGGTCTTGTCATCATTTTCCTTCCATTTTCTATTGTCTCTACTCAGTTGCTACTTCTCCTTATTTCATACATTAACGAGAAATTGGCGTCAGCTACGATCACCGTCGATAATCGAATATTTTATCGGAAGCTCTCAAAATCATTGCTGTTGAAATGCAATTTATTTCTAGATACGTTCGCCTTGAGTCTATTCATATAACTGGTTATGTAGAGCTGACATTTCTTTTCAAAAAAAAGATGTGACAAATTAATAGAAAATGTTCGTAGTCGAGCTGAAAATTGCAGAGTTACAAGCTCGTGATGATATGAGAATAGGAATCAGAAAAATTTTCAATATGATATGATATCGTAGCGTCTTTGAATTTAGTTGTTAGGTTACTTCAATCTAAATTAACATTTTCGAAGTAATACATTTCTCGATAACCATCCATGGTCAAACAATTTTTTTTGGCAATGACAAACGACAAAAGCAAATGATTTGGAGAAAGAAAATCACACATCATAAACACAAATGATAACGACAAACGCACAAACGAAACAGAAAATTACCAAGCTTAATTTGAATTGACTGTGTTAAGTATAACTGTCACTTTCTTATCACTTTGATGTTAAAACACAAAATGTTGGCAAAATGTATAGACAAAATCTAATTCTAATGGTTGTAAGTCGAAGATCAGGACAAATTATCAGAATAAATCGGTCACATATTTTCCTACAAACTATAGTTAAAATTAAAAAATAAAAGACAAATCCTTGTCTTAAAGTTTTTTATTGCACAAACATACACAACATATTTAATATGTTTCTTTTCTTTAGAAATAGGTAGCATGTAAAAATATAATGTTTGAAAACCTAATAATTTATTCATAAAGATATCTATCTTTGAATAGATTCACGACTGTATAACATGTCAAAACAAAAAAATGTGTACTAACAAGTGAAAAATAAAATGTAGATCCAATACAATCTAAAAAGAATTTCTAGAAACATAGTACAAAGAGTTGAATACTTTTATTTCAAATACTTTTGTGTAATATTTTTTCTTAATAAAAATTGAAGCTCGTAATGGATTGTATGGCGAATGTTGAATCTTTAGGTCACATATATCTAATAGCAATCACATAAAATTATATATTACAGATCATCGAGATTAATGAAAAATAAATATGACATGAATAACGTAGATATAGTCTAAAATATGTTAATATTTCTGGTTATTCATATAGTAGTATAAAAAAACGTACTTATTTTATTTTTGGCAGATGACATAGACCTTCTAAAATATTCGAATGTTAAACAAATCTTCTTAAATAAACGAAAGATATTGCAAAACGTTAAGAGAATAACAAAAAAACACCTCTCAGATCTTTAAGAGAAATGTGCTGCAGCAACCAAATACATAAATAAATAAAAAAGAATTATGTACATATAATTTTCTACACATTTAAATAAGACTATTCCTCAAACTTTATTAATTTTCTTTATCAAATTTTTCTTCCGTAACCTCGATTCGTCCATCGATGATGCGCTATAATGTGTTCGTCGAACTCTCAATGATTCAAAACAAATGCGCATTTCTTTCTTTACTTTTTCTAAATTAGTTGATGTACGCTGATATTTTTCATCTAAACGTTTGTAAATCGTTTGTTCAATGGTCTAAAAACAAACTCTGCAGAAATGTCACAGGATGGTATATTGTCTGTCATTCACCTCATTAATTCGATTCAAATCTGCTACGATTTATACTGATCCTCTAATGTGGCTGTTTTACGTTCAGATTGATAATTAACATCATCGATGCGCGATATTTTCAACATCCGTTTGTCGTTTTTTCTACTAGTCCATCTGTTTTTGAAAATTTAAGTTAAAGATCAACATTTAATAATCGCAATTGTTCGTTGTGTGCATGTTGAGTCGCATCTAATTGAGAGAATGTCGATTCGCGCAAGGCTATTTTAGCAGCTAATAACTAATTTGAGAAACAGAAAAACAAACATCCCAGGCACAAAAAAATCGTTAGAAACGCAAAAAAAACGCGTTTTTAAAAACACGTTACGAAACTCTCGTTTTCACGCGTTTTCTATGGGATACAACACGTGTAAACGCGTTTCAGATGAAGCATTTAACGCGTTTTTTGATCGTTAAAAACGAAATAAAAAAATACAATAAAAACACGTTTCGGGATCGAGTCAGTTACTCCTGAATTGTTCCAGAAACGCGTTTCATAACGCGCACGTTTGTTCCATTTTCCGTTTTCACGCGTTTTTAACGGTTGAAAAGCGCAACTAATCATTTACCGTCTTGTTTTGCGGTCAGCCGACTATATAAGCACAATCGGAATATCGGAAAGATATCATCGTCTTTTCGTTCTTTTTTAGTTTTAGATCATCAGTTTTGCACTTCATTTATTATAGATTTTCATTATTTTCAGATTAAGTCCGAATGGGTAGCCAAGTCTCATCTTTGACTTAAAAAAAATTCTGAAACGATTCAGGAGCTGCAGACTTGATCCGGAAATGCGTTTTTATTCCGTTTTTAACGATCAAAAAACGCGTTAAATGTTTCATCTGAAACGTTCTAGAACGTTTTTAACGCAAAAGTAACGCGTTTCTAAGTTGTTCAAGAGACTGTTTTAACGCGTTTTTCTTCGTTTCAAATGAAACATTTAACGCGTTTTAGACCCAATTTTTTTGTGCCTGGGATTGTGAAATAAACTGCCTCGATATCATTATTAAGCTTTTTACAAACGGCAGATAATGCTTGAAGTTGTTGACGAAAGACAAAACTATTTCATAAACGTTTGGGGTGAAAAAAAACAGCGTATTTGTGCCTTTAAATGGGAGCAAAAAGTATTTCGGGCTCTGTGTGCACAGAGGACCAGGGCCAATTGCAATAGACGGCAATATTCCTTTGAAAAACGATTTGTTTAGAGAAACGATTTCAAATTTCGAACGACAAAACGGAATATTTTACCAGTGAACACTCACATTTTCTTATATTAGAACGCTTGAAATTCAAGTGTTTGTAACGTGTATGAGGAAATTCACTGTTTTGGATAAACCTGAAAGGTGAGACCCTGATTTCAGATATTTCGAGCACTTTCTAGGTATTCAGTTATACCAATGCTATAACAATTGTAAACTGACAGTAAAGAATATTTTTATATCCATTGCTCCTCCCAAGTAAGCATGCAACCGTTACGGTTAACCGTAACCGTAAATAACCGCTTTATAACAACTTAGTGTATGTTTGGTTTTTAGTTCCTGATACCGGTTTACATTAGAAGTAGACAAGGATGGCCTTTGTCGTGACGTTATAGCGCATCTGCTATAGTGACAGCCTATACTACGTTGCACAAAAAAGCCGTTAAGTGGCGGCATCGGCGAATATCTCATCAACCACTGTTTGTCAGAGTAATTTGGCTTTTTTGAACAAAATCTTCCACTTTTCATCATGAATCTCAACATTTTATCTAATGAATTTGAGTACCACACAGGTTTGAATCCATGTCACTATAGCAGAAGCATTAAAACGTCAGAACAAAGACCATCCTTGTCTAGTTCTAATGTAAACCGATATCAAAGAACTAAAAGTCAAGTATACACTAAGTTGTTATAAAGCGGTTATTTACGGTTACGGTTAATCGTTCGAACGGTTATTTGCGGTTACAGTTATTTACGTTTACGGTTAACGGTTAATAGCCGTAACCGTTGTATGTCTACTCCCAAATAGTAGTTTTCTGTCAGTAAACGTAAATCAAAACCAATGCACACACAGTCTAAAAGTTTTCGCAAACGACATTATTTGGTACTTTCTTTTTGAA